TTCAATGTTTGATACTAACATGTTTTATATTTGTTATCTTGTTCACTCTTTAATACTTTGCTTGTTAAATGACTAATCTTGATTTATGTTGTATAACACTTGGTACAACAAATGCTTGGCACTTTCATAGCCCATACTGTATGGTATAACCAACACCTGAGCTATGAAAGGAACTTGATTTGTTGTTAACATAAGTTATAATCATGAATGCTTGACGAGATTTACAAGTATTAGCATTAATTGAATAAGATGACTAATGTAATCATGTTAACAATATATAATCTGATTGGAACCTCCTTTGTGTGTGGTTTCCAATTCAATAATAAGAGTTTATACTATACTTGTTTGATAGGAACTTGATTTGTTGTTAACATAAGTTATAATCATGAATGCTTGACAAAATTTACAAGTATTAGCATTAATCGAATAAGATGACTAATGTAATCATGTTAACAATTTATAATCTGATTGAAACGTCCTTTGTGTGTGGTTTCCAATTGAACAATAAGAGTTTATACTATACTTGTTTGACATACCATTAGTGGAACCTCTAACCTTGACATTTGTTATTATTATTGTTTAATCGTTACATTAATATTTCATCTCAAAGTTTTCATCTTCTTCATCTTATTCTCTTTCTTTTTCTTTATTATTATTATTATTACTATTATTATTAGTATTACTACTACTACTACTACTACTATTATTATTATTTATTATTGTTATTGTTATTGTTGTTGTTGTTGTTATTATTATTGTTATTGTATTATTGTTATTTATAATTTGTACAATTAACCTTTCTGTGGTTCGATCGCGGTCTTGCTGGGTTATTTATTACTTCGACACTCCTGCACTTGGGAGAAGATATCAATCTTTTAGTCGTGTCACTCATGAATATTTAACAATTTTTTTCGTAGTTTACTTGATTTGTTGTATGATTTGTATAAATATGCAAAAATCTGAGGCAACACTGATGATTTTGAGGTATGGAAAAAGTATAAACCAAGTCATGCCACTGAGGATAATTAAGTAAAGTTTTGAGACTTTTTTTGCATCAAAAGAATTTAAAAAGTGATTACCATCCGGTTAGTAGAATTAAAACAAAGAAACATATAGTTCAATGAACAAGCACACTAGTGGATTGTTTCGATTTGTCAACAATGCAAATCTTCTAGAAAATTTTTAAATTATTTTTTCTTTAATTTTTAATTGACTTCTTATTTGTTAGAATTTTTACAAGTTTTTTGTTTGTAGGAAAAACATCTTCGATGGGAGCCTACTTCAATATAGTTATATGAGAAAATTCATATAAGAAAGACAGATAGGGGTGTCAGAACCTATTTTTGAATTAATCCTCAAATTCAGCCTTTTATCAAAATATAGATAAAAAATAAAACAAAAATAGCAAAAAGACTGGTATTTTTGCAAAAGCAAGTTTAGAGAATTTCCTATGTAGAAAAACATCAAGTCACAATTTTAGATGGAATCGATAATCTAATTGTACTCTATTTTTACCAAAACTAAAGATCAAATTAAATTATTATCAAATAAACTTTTATAAAAATTAAGCTTAGGGACATAATTAAATTATTATTAGGCCAATTTAATTTAATCATGAGCCAAATTAAAGTTTAATTATATTTGAAAATTAATTTGGGTACAATTAAAGGATTTAATTAGGTGCAATAACTTAATTATATTTTAAATGAGTCAAAATAATTTTATTACAGGCTTAATTGGTGAAAAATTAAGTTTGAGAGCTCAATTTAGACTTAATTGAGAATATTATAATTTTAGGAAACCAAATTTAATTTTTACCAAGTCAATTGATTGAAATCAGAGATAAAATCACAAGAAAATTAAAATTTTTGGATCAATTGAAGGTTAAATTGAAAAAAATTCACAACCAATGACCATTTTGAAAAAGACACAAAACTTTAGGGGCTTAATTGATTAAAATCAGGGGTGAAATTGAAAAAAATTAAAAATTTAATAATTAATTGAAGGTCAAACTGATAAATCCAAAATCATGGATCAAAATGAAAAAGGCTTTAAAATTCGAGGTTGGAATTGAGAATGAACAAGGGTAAAATTGAAAGTTTAAAGCCAATGAAGGAGTGACATTGATAGAAATCAGAAGTTGAAGAACTAAAATGAATTTTGCCAAAATGATGCCATTTTGGGGTTTACTGTTCATCTTCTTCTTTATATTTTTGCCAGAAAAGCTAGCCAAGAGCTGAGTGACAACTTATACAAAAATAATCATCTAACATTTGACTAGATCCTAGTGTGATCCATTTTGGTTAATTGACGCCATAATGGTTATGGCATCGCCCCAAAGTGATCAACTCGATTACCTTTTTTTCTACAACAAATCTGACAGCCTATAATAACTATTTTGAGTTAACAGTTGGGATCATTTCTAGTCGAATCAAAAGCCAAGATTTGGCATTAGTGAAGATGAAACATTCCTCTTTTATTTCCTATAAATAGGAGTGGATTTCATGGCTTGAAAAATGAGAAAATTGATTCCAAAGTTGACAAAAAAATTAGCCTTCTTTTTATTTTTGCTGCCAGTGTGATCTTCTATCTCTGCCCTCTCTCTCCATCAACCACCAACACTCTCATTACCAGGTTTTCCTCCCCCATATCCACCACAAACAAATGAAAGGCCACCTCTTATCAAGAATAGCCACCACTTACAAATGGTTGGCCACCTCTCGTAAGGAGTCATCATCACAAGTTTCACTCTCTCCTTTGTAAATCTTCCTTCCACAACTGACGCTGACCACCATGTCTTCCACCAACATCTCCTGAGCCATCAGTCAAATCTCCTTATCACAACCATGACCCTCATGCAAGGCAATCTTTTCCTCTCTTCTTCTTCTTCATTATCTTTTTTTTCTTCTTCTTCTTCATGCTCACCACATATAGAATTCATTTTTGCATGCAACAGCTAATTAATTAATGTGATCACTGGATTGGTCCAACGATCATGTGGCCTATGAATTAGACTCATGTCAACCTAGCCTAGATAGCTAGGCTAGGTCTTGCCTAGCCTAAAAAAAGAGAGCCAGGTATGTTGGGATGCTAATTGGTCCAACCAAACTCGGATAGACCAGGCACAACCCATATATTTAATAATAATATAATATTATATATTATAAATAGAAAATAAATTTCAAAAGTACTTTCAAAAAAAATATTTGTTAATTTCTTGCATGTTTTTTCAATAATTTTGCATAATATTGGATTATATATTGACACTATAAGATATAAATCCGACATTAAAATACTCGATTTTTTCTAAAATTTTTCTTAATTTTTTTAAAAAAATTCCAAAAAAATCTTAATTTTCAAATTAATTTTCTCTTAAAAAAAAAACATTATATTTAGTTTTTGCTGATAGAATAGGGGATACAATACTTCATCGGTAATATATATATTGATGAAATGGTTGACTCAAGCTGGTCAATGCATATTTTCTTTTGGCACCATTATTCTGCTAGCATTACAAGCATGTAGACTTTTCTTTGGTGGCGGAGAAGATCAAGTGAATGCTACAATGGTTGTATGAAGACTTTTCTTTCCTATTCGGTAGTGTATTCAAGCATCAATGTTCGAGCTAAAAAACTGTGGATCTTATGCCGTGGTTTCTATGTCCCCTGAATTTTTAAGGGAAGCCCTAATTTCAAAGAAGTCAACGGTTTTTAGCTGGGAAAAAAGTCGACAGATTGCTACACTGAATTCTGAAAACTAGCCAATTTTTTTTTTTACTGCAAAGTATAGAAAATATTTTTTTTTAAAAAAACGACTTCCATGAGACAACAAGGGTACAAAGTAGAAAATGATTGCATATTACGCACAAAAATAAGCTTGAGCTACTGTAAATCAAAGAAACAATGGCCACACTATTAGGCTTCGTTGAGAATTCAAAACCATCAATTAATATTAAATTCCTCCATATAACTTAAGCAAGCATTAAACCTTTATTTAAAACTAAAATATCAACAAGAGAAGAATAAACAATTGACATTGTATCCCATAGATCTAGATCTTGGATCAAGATTTATACACACACACTCAAAAATGAATGGCAAAAAAGTCCAAGTTGTTGTCAACGACAGGCATTGATGATGGCTAGGCGAATGCTTTTTTAAAAAATAAATAAATAAATAAACAAAGATTTTACGTTTTGTCTAGAGGGGAGTAATTTATTTTTCAAATACTTTCAGGAGATGTCGTGGCCTTACATGATCGTTTAGTCAGAGAAAAAGGGCGAAACTTTCACTATACATAAAGATGGTAACGTAACGAAGCAGAAGACGGCTTTGAAAATAGCAGGTAAATAGGCTACTGCCCTAGCCTGTGGAAGCGGCCTGAAACAATCAAGAAATTTCTAAATGGGCTCCTCCCTTAGCCTGTGGAAGCTGGCTTGAAACAATCAAGAAATTTCTGAAAAGCCTCCCTCTTTGAGCTGTCTCTTAACGATCAGTCGCCTGATTAGTGGTTAATAAATGCCGCGTACTTGCATCCTAATCACCTGGATATGTCTTTAGACTGCTCAGGCTCTTCAGGCTTCTACGGTAGGTATAAATAGCCTCTTTCTTAGAAACTTAACTGCCTTTATCAGTTGATGGTTTATAATCAGCACCCACATGGATATTGCAGGCAAAGTCAAAATAGATCAAGTACGAAAAAAACTTCTTTAAAATCAGAATTTCAAGAGCTTCTTGATAGCGCCTAACATGGCACGTGTATGTGTTGTGATCATGTCCTATAAAAATAAAAATGCTGTCGATCTCACAAGCTAGTTGATGAGGTTCATCCTGTGATCCTGATGAAAAATCACTATTTTAGCACGGAGGGTCAAATTCTCAGAGGAAAACATAACCCCTGCTTATGCTACAGATGGAAATTTACAGAAAACATAAAAATTCTGACTTTTAATTGCTAAACTTAGTTTCTATTTGAAAAACAATCTCGTGGTTGGAATTAAGTAAAATGACAGGAAGAGAAATATTCTTGTTCATGACATCCTTTTTCTCAAACACTTGGCCAAATTGTTAGTCTTCCATTCTCATCAATAACAAGTATGGGACATGGCAACTGCGAAGTTGCAGTAGCTCTTCTTCTGTTTCTATCATGTTCCTGTCCAGATTATGGTGATGCGGGAGATACCATAACTACTTCTCAACCAATCAAAGATCCAGAAGCTATAGTCTCTGCCGGCAATAGGTTCAAACTGGGATTTTTCAGCCCAGTTAATTCAACATATCGATATGTAGGAATATGGTATAGTAATATATCAGTAGCAACTCCAGTACTATGGGTGGCCAACAGAAACAACCCAATCAACGATTCTTCTGGGATGATGACAATATCTGAAGATGGAAATCTTGTGGTTTTGAATGGTCAGGTAGAGGTTCTGTGGTCATCAAATGTTTCAAATGTGTTCAATCAATCAACTGCACAGCTTACTGATGATGGAAACCTTGTCTTGAAAGCCGGACCGAGTGGAAACCTTTTATGGAAAAGTTTCCTGCATCCTACAGATACTTGCTCATCAAAGATGAGACTTAGTGCTAACGCAAGAACAGGGAACAAGACACTGCTAACGTCCTGGAGAAGCTCATCTGATCCTTCTGTTGGAAACTTCTCTGCTGGTATCAATGCATTAGGAATTCCTGAGTTCTTCATCTGGTACAATGGTCATCCATTTTGGCGTAGTGGTCCATGGGGTGGCCAGAACTTTATTGGAATACCAGGAATGTCTACTTCTGTCTATCTATTTGGATTTACTCTTCAAAATGAAGGAGATGGCACCTTCACTCTGAGTTCAATTCACGACCCAGCTTACCGTTTAACATATGTTTTGACTCCTCGTGGAAGACTTACAGAACAATACTGGGATTATAGGAAGGGAGGTTGGGAGTATACCTGGGAAGCTCCATCAACACAGTGTGATATTTATGGCAAGTGCGGGCCATTTGGAAGCTGCGATGCACATAATTCACCTATCTGCAAATGTTTAAAAGGGTTTGTTGCAAAAAATCAAGATGAATGGAACAAAGGAATCTGGACTAGCGGTTGTGTTAGGATGACATCGTTGCAGTGTGATAGAATACAGAATGGTAGTGAAGTGGGAAAAGAAGATGGGTTTAAGAAGCTGGAGATGATGAAGGTGCCAACCTTTGCGGATTACCGGCCATATCCGTCCTCCGAACAAGAATGCAAAGATGAGTGCTTGAGGAATTGTTCCTGTGTCGCTTATTCATATTATAACGGTTTTGGCTGTATGGCATGGACAGGAAACTTGATTGATATACAGAAGTTCTCTGAAGGAGGGACAGATCTCAACATTCGCCTGGCGTATACAGAACTTGGTAATTGTTATAATATTTTCTCATTTTCATTCACTAGTGTTTCGTTTTTCAGGTGTGCATAAAAAAAGTTCTGTAACTGTATGAGGAAACATTGATAAGTTTTTCATATTTCCATTACATTTTGCAAAATAACCATCAGTACAATTTTTTGGTTGCAGATAACAAGGGAAACATAAAAATAATCATCAGTTTATCAGTGATTGTAGGAGCCATAGCCTTCTTCATCTGTGTGTTTTTTTCTTGGAAATGGATGGCTACACATGGAGGTAACATGCTACGTCTTATTAGCTTACTGGACTTCTAAACTTTAAAATTTTTACTAGTAAAGAAAAACAAAATTCTCAAATAATAACGATACTTCCACTTGAATTCAGAAAGGAAGTTGATAAGTGAGGAGACCTTATCTTTCAAAAAAAGAGAAGCACAAGAAACAGTTTTTGAAGGAAACTGGCCCGAAAACGTCAAGGAAGTTAACCTTGCACCGCTCTTTAAATTAAAAGTTCTTGAAACTGCTACAAACAACTTTGACATATCCAAGAAGCTTGGGCAGGGCGGCTTTGGTGCAGTATACAGGGTAACTCTTCTCAGCTAAAGGTTCTTTACAGTTATTTAAGGCAAATAGGTATTTATCCGTTTGAATAACATTGTAGGGAAAATTGCCAGAGGGACAGGAAATAGGGAAAATTGCCAGATGGACAGGAAATAGCTGTGAAAAGACTCTCTAGAACATCTGGTCAAGGGCTTGAAGAGCTCATGAATGAAGTTGTGGTGATTTCAAAACTCCAACACAGGAATCTTGTGAGACTTCTTGGTTGCTGTGTTGAAGGAGAAGAGATGATGTTGGTTTATGAGTACCTGCCGAATAAAAGCTTGGATGCATTTCTCTTTGGTTAGAGCTACTGCCCTCTTTTGTTTAGGTACTCCTTTTCTTGACTCATTTTCATTTGCCCTTGTTTTCTCATGATTTTTTCTGCATACAATCTGCTTAGATTCACTCAGGAAAGGACAACTACATTGGGAAAGACGCTTCGACATTATTAGCGGCATTTGTCGAGGTCTTCTTTACCTTCACAGAGATTCTAGACTAAGAATTATTCATAGAGATCTGAAGCCAAGTAACATCTTATTGGACCATGAGCTGAATCCCAAAATTTCAGACTTCGGAATGGCCAGGATTTTTTGTGGCAATGAAGATCAAGTGAATACTACCAGGGTCGTTGGAACCTAGTAAGTATAATTTATTTTTTCTTGTTTTCTTTTTTCCATTTTCACTCCTATTACCGTTTTGCTATTTTGAGCTCAGAAATCTGTGATCCTCATGCAGTGGCTATATGTCCCCTGAATATTTAATGAAAGGAAGATTTTCAGAGAAATCAGATGTATTTAGCTTTGGAGTTTTGTTGCTGGAGATCGTAAGCGGAAGAAGGAACTCTAGTTTTTATGACAATGAGCATTCTTTGAGTCTTATAGGATTTGTATGTCTGTCCGCCTCCCTGCCTGAGATATATCTGCAAAGCTCCATTCAATTTCTGATACTATTAAACTTGCAAACTCTTACTAGGATGGATTTTTATATTTTCAGGCTTGGAAACTGTGGAATGAAGGTGGCATTACAGCTTTGGTCGACCCTGCAATATCAGATCCTTGTTTTCAGGTGGAGATATTCCGATGCATACATATTGGTCTGTTGTGCGTGCAAGAATTGGCAAAAGACAGACCGGGAGTGTCTACAATCACTTCCATGCTAAATAGTGAAATTGTGGATCTTCCTCCTCCAAAGAAACCAGCATTTGTTGAAAGGCAGAGTTCCTTGGATACAGAGTCCATTGCACAGGACCAAAAGATAAATTCCATTAACAATGTGACGATTTCTGATCTTAATGGCCGATAGAGTTCAGAACAAGTTTATTTTTCTATTAGATATTAATGTAGTTTATCATTGTAGAACATTACATTGCTGGGTATGACTTTTCTATTAGATGGTCAGTTCTACGGTCGAACATATCAGAGGAAAACTCAGAATGCCCGAAATGTTCGAAATGATGGCTTCTGTACCTCCTTTAAGAAATGAGGTGTTTTCATTTAGCAATTAAAAAAAAAACACCCTAAATGAAGCTCACTTGAAAACAGTAATGTCTAAAGATTTCTGACTTTGAAGTACTAAACAGTTGTTTTAAAAACAATTTATCAACAATATAAACAATTGATATGTTATTTTGATAATAGTTATATAATTATTGAATTTCAAAATATATGAAATAAAGTTTTTTTTACATTTTAGATTTGTAATCTTAAAGTTTTAAAGTTTGAGAAACCTAATTTGATTTAATTATTGATAGCAGTAGTTAATAGAATATTATAAGTAAATTTATTTTTAAAAATTTAAATTTACCATAAGAACCATATCTTAAATCACATAAAATTAGGTGAATTAAGATAATAGAATAAATGAGATAATCCAATGCAATCATATAAAGTTTACTATTGTGCACTGTGATGTAGATGCTAGACTATATTGTGTGATTGAAAGGAAAACCTCAACTCAAAACTACTAAAATAAAGAAAAAACATATCCTTACTATAATTAATTTAGAACATGAGATTCAAGGAGATATGTTGAAGGCTGGATAAATTGTTGGATGGATATATCTTATAATAGATGATTAGCATCATATAAACTTCAAGTCTAGAGCTAACCTTCCAAATCTCATTTAGAAAAAGATAAATTATCTACTTTTATTTGTTATTTTGTGATTTTTTAATTATTAATTTGATATAGAATGCTGAGTTATAACAATATTAGTCTATATGTAAATAGTTGAATATAATATTTATTATAATTTGGGGTGATTTATTTATTTATTACTAGCATGCGTGATTGACCATCATATATATTTATTATAATATTATACCTAGTAGATATTTTTTTGCTTGGACGTGTAGTACAAACACATTTTCTTTTCTCTTTTATTTTTATATTTGATTTTCTGACTCGTAGAACACTAATAGAGAAATATAATTTAAACTATGTTTATATATGTTATTGGTATGTTTAGTTATACCCTTATTATGTATGGACCTTATTTTAATCTAATTTTTTATCCCTTATTTCTGTATGTATTAAAAAAAACATAAAAAATATATTTTTTCAGTAAATTTAGTCATTTCATTATTTTTATTTAATTTTTATGTATTAAAAAACATTGAAAATCATTAGAAAAACAAAAAAATGCAAAAAAAAAAATATATATATAGTTGAGGATGAAATTGAACAAATAATCAAGAATCTAAAACAGAAATTGAGTTTGAGAATTTCTTAGGTGGTTTTAATTGAAGATTAAATTGAAAAAATAACTTAAATTGATTTAATTTGAATAAGATTGAAAGAAATGGAAAGTGAAATGATGAGTTTAAAATAAATGATTAAGTTAGGAATCAATTAAGGATTTAATTGAAAAAAAAATTAAAATTATAAGTTAAATTTGTTAAAACTGTATAATTCTGAACATGTATTTGCAACAAGAAGTTAAAATTTAAAGGTTCAAATTGATTCAATTAGCAATATAATTGAAAAGAAAAATGTAATTTCTTTGAAATTACAGGAATTTGAAAAAAATCAAAGACTAAATTAAAAAAAAAAGGCTAAATTGAAAATGATCAATTTAAAGATTAATTTGAAGAAATCAAAGATTTAAAGCCCTCATTCAACGAAATTCATGAAATTTAAAAGTCAATAACTGTAAGGAAAAGGAGAAAATATTCGAGAGACCGGTTGAACTTCGTTTCAGTACTTTTTGTTTACAATTAGTTCAATCCAGCCCAATTTAGTCCAATAATTTTATCAAATAATTCGATTTAGTCCCCAATTAATTCATGAGGCAACCTTCCCCATCCACTTCAACCTTTCCCTCAGAAACCCTCATCCTCCACAGCAGCCTGCGTCGCTTCACACAGGCCCTTTTCCACACAACCTGTAACCGGCCCAAGAAAAACCCACCAAATTCAACCCATTCCAGCCTTCATCTTCTTCTCCGGACCATCTTCCACCCCCTTACCATACCAGCCACCATCTCTGACAGTCACCGTCGATCGACCACCATTCTCTACTGGCTTCCTACATGCCCAATCTCCACCTCTTCATGGTGTTTCTCTCACCACAGACTCGGCCACAATAATAGCAAAGTCTGGAGTCCACTCTCGGTCACCACTAACGACAACAACCTCTCTGCCCCACCAGCAGCAACTCCTCCACGGCCAGATATTCTCGGCGACCATCACATCGCCCTCTCAGTTTCGCCCATAACCCCAGCCAGGAGGAGACACCCAAGAGAAACTGGAAGAACGTGGGCTACAAACTGATTTCGTGTCTTTAGTTTTTGCAGGTATACATCAAAGGGAGTGTGGGTACACACACACAAACAAGTTCAGGAAGCTTTAATTGACTAGCGCGTGAATGCACGTGTAGCACGTGGTCCAATCATATTTTACTAGCAACTTTTGGTGTTTTATATTTATACTCGAAAAGTCAATCTTAAACCCTCGAATTATGATTCTTGTTATTTCTGTATTTAACTTTGTGTATAATCAGTATTGGCACACTTCATTAATATTTTGTATGGCTTTTTTTTTTGAATAAAAAACTCATAAAAAAATAATTGTAAATGAGAAAAAGCCCCAAATAATAATAAATAATTCAAAATATTGTTTTTTTTGTATTACTTGTTATTTAATATTTTAAGCATTAGTTATAATAATCTGAACTCCTCAATGTAATCCCATCAAAATCTGTTGAGGTAGTGTAACAGCTGCTTCATTTATTTTAAGGGTTTATTATGGAGTGTGGTTGGGTTTGATTTTTAAAGTAGTTTTTAATTTTAAAATATATTAAAATAATTTTTTTATTTTAAAAAAATATTTTTAAGATTAACATATCAAAATAATCTAAAATATAAAAAATTAATTTTTAACTAATTTTTTTAAAAACATGGATTGACACACAT